GCTTTAACTATATCCTAACACACATGCCCAGAACACTGTAAGAATTATCTTTCAGGTACTGTGTTTTGCTTGTTCTGTTCCACAGGAGAAGCTTGAATGCCAGCCAGTTCCACTGCAATCAGTGAAATAACTGAAGATATGGCATACACTGGGCTGATCTTAGTTGGATCCACTCAAATTCTCTGTCTTGGACCCAAGAAACGGGCCCACATTATCCTTCCAGGGAACGACTCCACTCTCGAGTGCTCATAAAATCCCACAATTGCATACCTCACGCCAGTTTTTGTTTTGTTGACTGGGTGATCACCCATTTAGTACCTTGCATACCAAAGCTTTTCAGCAAGTCTGCCCTAATAGTGGGCAGTGACAGATGAGTCAATGAGATGTAAAATCTGGCACACAGCCAAGCCTGAAAATCGAGACAGGTGTACAGGAAGGACTCATGTTCCTGCAGAATGCTTTCCTTCTTAATCTCCCCCCTGGGCATGCACACAAGTACAACATTTACTCTTTACATGATTTTCCGTCACTATTCTCTCTGTGGTAGGGCTGGCAATTGAGAGTTAAAGGCGACACTCAACAGACAGTCAACTCCAGATTGCTTATACCGCTGCTGCAGTTGCCTGCCACTAACAGCTGGGATACTGGCTGCCCTCTTTCCCACCCCTATATGAAGCGACCGAGTGGAGCCAGAGCTGGTTCCTGCGGTTGCTGAGGAAGGATCACACCAGTTGTTCTTTCTGGCCAGCTGAAGCAGCACTAGAGACATCTGTCTCCTCCACTTATTGAGCAGTTTAACGGCAGCAGTGCCTGCCATAACCAGTGGGAGGTTTTAAAAAAAAAAATCCTACACCAAGGGCAAAGCAAAAGGAAAGGCCTACACCCAAATTTATGAATTGTTCTTTTCTTACAGAGCACCCGTACTTTTCTGTCAGAAGTATTCTTCTATGCTTGAATTACAAGGTAACTCAAAAGATCTGACAGTCCTCAGGAGCACACACCTTTCTTCTTCTTTTTTTATTATTATTAAATTATTTTATTATTATTAAATAAATTTGACAATAAACTTGACTAGGCTATTCTGTTTTTAAAAGTTGGGCTTATGAAACGAGTCGCCAGAAGACCATACAGCAAAACCAGGCATGTGGTATTATTTGCTTTGCTCATCTCCCTGCACAGGGAGGGTAATTATTAATGGTAACGCTCATCTGCCCCGCTCTATATTGACCTTATTGGAGAGGAGAGGGGTTAGGGGATGCTGAAGCACTTTCCCCCTGATCACCCACTTTTCCCCCTGATAGCAATAAATACCTCGCTTGTTTATGATTATGAGCCAATCATGAAGAAAGCAAACAGGCCCACCTACAGAAAAGCAAACAGGCCCACCTACAGAAAAGGTAGGAGGGGTCTGAACGCTACGGTATGCCTCTAGCAGGCATAATTTTTTTACTGTGTAAATTAAGAAAAATCACCCCAGTATCATGGTGAGAAATGACACAAGAAGAAAAGGGGGGGGGGAAATAAGAGGAGAGTGGCGCAACTAGTTTGGCCAAGCTCTTAAAAGTACTGTGGATGGAGAGATTTAGGTAAGGGCATCAATTCTTAGTAATTTCCCTTCGTACATAATTCTTCATGGGGTCCCAATTTAGTATATGGGCTGATGTAACCAGCTCACAGCAGAGTTCAGGACAGCACACTGAAAACAATTTTAATGAGAATGAGACCCACTGTTTTGATACTTATGACAAATGAAAAGCAAAGTAAAAGTAGTCACTGTTATGTAACAACATTTGGAAATTTACTAAGCCTCTCTCAAAAAGCTAGCTCAGTTCCTGTTTAACAGTTATTTCCCCCCACGGAATTACCAGGGGTAATTTCCTGCAGGAGTGCACAGGAGCGGAGCTCCGGCAGTAAAGAGCCCAGGGGGCGGGCACATGCAACAAACCCCACTCCTGCTCCCAGCAGCCCTCAGTCAGAGCAAGAAGCAGCCAGGTAAGCTGCAGAGCCCCTTCCCCCGGCCCAAAACAGTCCAGTGGCACCTTTAAGACCAAGTTTTATTCTGGTACGAGCTCTCCCTCGTCTACGAGGACAGATCTGCACATTCCTCCCCCCCCCCAATAGCTACCAATCCAAAACAGTCCAATGGAACCTGAGCAGTTGGTGTTGCCTTCTGACAAACTTTGGGTGATGTCAGGGGGTGTGGCACATGCAAATAAGTTATGCTAATGAGTTATGCTAATGAGCTCCTGCACCTCTTTTTCTACGAAATGACCCCTGGGAATTACCCTTCAGAGTATATGGAAATGGGCTTGGGGTTTGGGCTCATGCACCTGCTGTCCCAGTGAACAACCAAACCATCAGATTTCACCTTTACAGAATGTGATATCTCCACATCTTGGGAATTAATTCCACTTTGGTTATCTTATTCTCTTTGTTCTGATGGAGCCATAAATAAGTTTGGGTGGACACTTACAGTCCAAGAATTGCTCCTGATCTTGACCTCTCACCTCAGAAGAAGGAAATCCATTGCAGGGTGAAAGGGGTTCTTAAATAAATCCTCTCATTTTGCAACATGTCAAAAATCCTAACACACCAGGAATACTTGCAAAAATTGAATCTGTCCTACCTGGTTCTGGGTAGGATCTTCCCACTTTTAGGGGGTAGGAAGAATGAATGTGGTAAAATCTGTGCAAAGAGAACCTCTCTACCAATGCTCCCTCTAAGCTGTGGAGTCTTGTGAGCAAAAATTCAATTTGTGAGCCACTGTCATTAAAGGTGTGACCAAGCGATTTGGCTACCGCCTAAATTAGTTTGCTCTGGAGCCGTCCTTCCCGAGCTAAGACAAAAACGTGTGGAGCCGGAGGCTAAAAAAACTGTGACCTAACTCACACTAACTCAGCTTAGAGGGAACACTGCTCTCTACTACATTTCACATCCTAAGATTCTACTCCTTGCTTTGGTTTATTTTTGTTAAGACTGGGATTTCCTAAATGACTGCAACTGAAAAAAAGACTAACAAATTTGAAATGAGGGAAAATTCAGTTGTCCACATGCACTGAAGCTAACTGAGGTTTAAGTCCCAGTCTAATTGTACGTGTGTTTAAGTAACAAGTCAGTTTTGGGGTAGCAAAAAAATGAAAAAAAGAAAGAAATGGGATGGGATGGGGTGACATCTGGGCCAGTTCTTACTCTTCTCCCAAAGAGCAATCATAGCAACCATCTGACCTTCAGTTCCCACAAATGTATTGTGAAAGAACCATGATCGCAGCCCAACTGAATATGACCTGGTCTACATATGCAGCAAAATGAGATGGAAGAATTCTGAAGCGGCAAAACTGTACACTGTTTCATACAGCAGGGGTAGAAAGTTGCATTTTAATGACCACCTTATAAAAGCTCCATGAAAATACATTATTAGTACATCAGGGGAAAAGATTCTAGCCTAGCCCTTTGCATCCTGTGCTAGTTTTCCTTTTGCATGGAATTACTGTGAGGGTACTTTGACCATACCACTTCAAACTAAAGGTGACACATGACATTTACCGTGTTTCTGCTGTTTCACCTGATTCTCCTGCATTTGCAGACCAAGCCCAAGTTTCTTATGCAGCAAGGAAGTCTGTATGCAGAAGCCTGTTTCAGCATCCAATGTCCCTTAAGTCAGGACTAGTAGTATTATAAATCGTTTACATGTTATCTATGTTTAAACTGGATGTCAATAGTATGAGTTAAAGTAAGGACAATTTATTTTGTTTTATGCCAGTTAAGTTCAGGGGTCTTTTCCTGCAGGAGCGCACAGGAGTGGAGCTCTGGCACTAAAGAGCCCAGGGGGTGGGCACATGCAACAAGCTCCCAGCAGCCCTCAGTAAGAGCAAGAAGCAGCCAGGTAAGTTGCAGAGCTCCCCCTGGCCCAAAACAGTCCAGTGGCACCTTTAAGACCAAGTTTTATTCAGGCGCAAGCTCTACCTTCTCTGCGAGGGCAGATCTGCACGTCCCCCCCCCCCAATAACTAGCAATCCAAAACAGTCCAATGGAGCCTGAGCGGTGAGTGTTGCCTTCTGAAACACTTTCGGTGATGTCAGGGGGTGTGGCATAGGCAAATAAGTTATGCTAATGAGTTATGCTAATGAGCTCCTGCACCTCTTTTTCTACAAAATGACCCCTGGTTAAGTTCATTCTGTTTTGATCCTCCCAACTTTCAAGACAGCATAGCCTGAAAATGTAAGTACTAGTGCTGCTTCTTTGCCGTTTCAGTTATGGATCTGTCCTTATCCACAACCCCACAGACTGAGTGCCTAAAGGGAAAAAAGAGGCATGTAAAATTAAAAAATAAAGAAAAAAACAAAGGCAATTTTTTACCCTTTCCATAATAATCATCACTTTTAATTCTAGCACCTGAACTTATACAAGGGTATGTTTTGTTAAGTGAATTGTACAGAACTGTTGTACACTTTCAGTAGAGGTGACAGCAAAAAAATACCACTTCGTATTCCATTTCACAGAATAATCCTAAATAATCATTTAGCCATGGTCTGCATAATTCAAAGTCAAACATCCATCCACAATTGAACCAAATAGTTAAAAGTTTGTACAGTTTAATAGTCACATAATGGTCAGTCTTTTATAAAGGATACGGAAGGCTATTTCAAAAACATGACAGATATTGAACAGCCACAAGATTGGCCATTGCTGGATTAAACCAGAACAGAAGAGAGATTCTACCCACAGTTCTGCAAATCCTGAATTAATTTTTTGTCAGTTAAATGTGAACTGTGAGAATTAAATACTCATCTTTACATATACACAAGTTATGCCATGAAAGCATATTTGCTTACAAACATATAAAAATACTTGTTAACTAGTTTGATAAGAAAATAATGTATAAAAGTATATAGCAAAAACATTTAATCATCTGACAATGAAAAGAGCAAATTCATCTTTTTACATTACATGAAAACAAAAAACAGCTACAGGTTCAATTTTCTCAAATCACTTACCTGGGAATACAAAAGGAAGACAAATAATTTTTATTCCAAACCCATGATGTAAAAATCTTCTAACTGAAATGCCCAAGTCCAGAATGAGTCCAGGCTATTTGGCCACATAGTTGCAGTAATAATCCTGTAGCTGTTACTGGAACCATAAAATAAATACAGTAGACGGCTGACCACTAAAAAAAGCTGCAGCATAAACAAGAGCTGAAACATAAAACTTTACTGACAATGAAATTCAGTGTATTGGCTTCCTGTAAGGCAAGCTGAATTTTGAAGTTTAACCTAATCAACATGTAAACCTCCAAATCCACCGTTTTAAAAAAATACTCTATATTTTGATTAGAGGACTCCCTCGAGTGTGATTAACAAAAGGCATCACAAGTGGGGGGGGGGAATACTCACACATCAACTTTTAAGCTTGACTTCAAATACCTTGTTCTAAGACTGTTTTGATTCCATTGTGAATAAAACTCCACAAGGTGCAAGCTTCTTCAAGGGGAGAAAGTAGGGTATTAAAAGAAGCCTTAGTGCTTGACATCTGCCCTGAGATGACCAAACTGTCTTCTAGGACTGGGTCAGCCAGTTTCACTCAGACTAAGGCTATTGTGGTGACCATTTATACAACATGCACATATAAGGCTAGACAAGACACCAAGGGAGACATTGAAACACAGGTGAAAGAATCCATTGATCTGGCAGTTGATAGCTTGGCTTAGAGGATTCTTAGAAGATGACACAATGGCATCCTTTCTTGTCTTTTTCCTTCCTTGTTGGCTCTGGGGAAGGAGGGCATTCTTGTTCTTGAAATTTCCTATGAAAAACACAAAGCTGCACATTAAATTTAGGCTCTGGTCCAGCGTATTTACCGATATAAAACACTCAGTTTAGTGCTCCATTGGCTAAATTTCTTTAATTTAAAAAAGCCTCCTAGACCAGGGGCCAATTTCAGGTAATTACAGGATTTAGTCAAAAGCAATTTCAATAGTCTATAGAGCTGCAGGACTAATTTAGGAGAATTTGTTGGCAATACCTGGAATTCTAATTTTTAGCACAGCAAGCTGCATTATGCTCATGATTACACGGAAGTGAATCCTTGCTTGTGAAAAGAGGTAGAGTGCACTTTGGAATAGCATAGTATGTCAAGTAAATATCTTTTGGAATATATGTATTAAAAACATCAAAAATGGAATATTCTGAATAAAGGTTAGGGTTACCAGGTCCAATCTTCTCCCCAGCAGGGGAATTAGGGGGTGTTCCAGGAGGGGGTGTGACCACCCCCACTGCGATGACATCACTCCACGTGACGTCATCACACCCCGCTTTTCCCGTCATTTAAAGGGATACTTCCCTTTAAATGGTGTGGGAAGGAAGTGAGGGCCAAGCACCCCTGCCTTTCAAGAGACGATCTTGCGTGCATGATCTCCAAATGGCAATGCCGCTTAGAATTCAGGCATGCTGCCAGCAGCCGCCGCTGCTGGAATGAAGCCCAATTTAGGAACAGTACTACAACCAGGGTTTTTTTTGTAGAAAAAGCCCAGCAGGAACTCATTAGCATAATAGGTCACACCCAACAGCAGGAACTCATTAGCATATTAGGCCACACCCCTGACAGCACAGCTCATTAGCATATTAGGCCACAACCCCGTGTTACCAGAAGTGTGGTCATCCAGCCACACCCACCTTTTGCTCCTTATTCTGTTTACCTTGTTCGTTGTCAAAACCCAGGGCTTTTTTTGTAGCAGGAACTCCTTTGCATGTTAGGCCACACACCCCTAATGTAGCCAATCCTAATGAGTTTCTGCTGTTGGGTGTGGCCTATTATGCTAATGAGTTCCTGCTGGGTGTGGCCAACTCAGGAGCCAGCCGGAACTCCGTTCCTGTGCGTTCCTGCCCAAAAATAGCCCTGACTACAACTACATTTATTTAACTATATAATTTATTTATTTAACTATATTATTTATATTTATTTTTATTTAACTATATAATTTATTTATTTAACTATATAATTTATTATCTGTATAATGTATATATCTGTATATCTGCCTATATAGGGAAGTTCATGCTAGGATGGCTTCATTTGTGATGCATCAACTTAACAAAATAAATAAAAAGGCATGGCCATTGATTTTATACCTGGTTACAACGTTTTAAAACTTGTAGTTGAATTTAATCTGCTCAGCACAGCATGTTAGTCAATGAGTTAATCTGGTTCAGGAAGAAGGAAGCTGTAGGTTAAGATGGATTTTCTCCTAGTGTAAGGAAATCAGGGAATATATCCAGAATTAAGAGTACCAAAACTACTAAATCCAAAGCAAATTTGACACCAATTTTAAGAGAAGCTTCAGGATTCTTTTTAAAACATGCATTTTTGTTTCTCCACAATACAAGTCTTACCTTATAACTCTGACAAGTTCATGAAATGCTTGGTCTACATTTAGTCGTATTTTTGCTGATGCTTCCATATACGTTACTTTAAGCTGTCTTGCTAGTTGCTGCCCCTCCTCTTGTGTTACCTGAAAACAAGAAGAGATGAGATAATTATTCAGTGGTAAGTAGCATTCCTTGTACACTGCAATTCTGCACACTGATTTCCACTGCATTTTTATTCCATCTGAGCCCAAAGATCTCAAGGCTTTACCAAAGAAAATAATAAAAATGTAAGACTGATGAAACTAAGCATCCAATTAATCTCCAAACCAATTCGATTAAAAAAATATACGAAGAAATGCTACAAGCCCCTATCGGTTCTCAGGCCAGCAATTATAATGCCTCAGTGATAAAGAATAATATAAACCCTAGTATTAAAATGTAAATATCAAACAACTGGGAAATGCTGAACGACTGAATCCTGCAAGATACATTTTCTATGCCAAAGTCATTCAAGTTTCATAACAGCACCATAATCTCATTTTTCTTGTGTTTCTGTCTTCTGCACTGTTCATATTGTGTCATGTTGGGGTTTTTTGCACTGTTTTCTAATTTTTGTAATCCTAATCCTTTTGCATGCTTTATTTTCTCTGACTGCATTGTTTTATATAGTGTAATCCTCTTTGAACCTCGGTGAGAAAGTAGGATATAAATAAAGTTAATAAATAAAACTGTTTTAACTTTAGCACTGGCCACATCAGCGGACAAAAAAACGTAACAGAGTACATTCTTCATTATTATAAATCTGAATTTTTTCAAAACTCTTGTTGAAAAAAGAAGACATAAAGGGGGCACTGGTATAGGAAGCAATTCAACATCTACCATGATTTCTAGTATTGCAGAATTGGAGAATATCCTTCACAAAAATGGCAGCCATTGTGATTTCAGATGAATGCATCCAATGGAGCATTTCTCTCATTCCCAATAGCTATTTTACTGGTTCTTTACTCGTCCAAAGACAAAAATAGGAAGAGCCTCTGTGCTTAGGATTGGTTGGGCCTTTGACAATTTCGAATTGTAGTTTATGAAGATACTGTGCCAAATAATAGTGCAGCTATAAGTATATCTCAAAAAGAAGCCAAATCACCCTAAAATTATATAACTTTGTCCTCCATGCTATTTGTACTTGGTTACAGCAGGATGTGTACCATAAAGAACCCAGCAACTTTTACAGAGTGAAACGTGGTACAAAGATATTGTTCAGCACTGCAATAAAATGAATTATGAAACAGCCTTGATACCTTCTCAACTCTTAAAGTACTTTAAAGTGATAAGTGGATCGATTGTTTGTTTGGATATTGCAAGCTATTCTAACTGTAAATCAAACAATGCATATTTGCTCAAGAAATGAGCAGTTTCTTGTGCTTAAAACAGAAAATGCCACTTTGCTAAAATAGAGAGCTACATCTAACAGTATAATGGCCTCTGAGTACTCTCTAAAGTAACATGCAGTTGTTGGTATAGCTACTGTTAGAAATATAATTGATGGAGTGGAATGCTCATGCCTTGATAATGATGTAATGGACCTCTGTTCCAAGCTTACAGGAGATTAGATTTTGACCTGGGACACATTCTTATGGCATTTACTCACAAGTTGATTAATCACATAAAAATGCTACAACGGTTTAGGAAGGCTCATTCCCTATGCCGGAAACTATCTGCTTAGGTTACTCGATTTCAATTAAAGATACCTTCATTTTGGCAACCATCCACTGAAGACATGGCACTCTGATGGCCAAAAGGCCATTACCAAGGGGTTGTTACAGAGAGCATCACGGACACATCATAGCATCCAGGCACCAGACAATGGAGACAGTCCAATGCAACATGGAAAATATGTTATCAACATGGAGAGCACAACCTGCTGCCAAATTCAGATGATTATGGCAAGAGCTTCAACAGGCCAAGCCCGATGAAAGAAATCACTATAATAATAAAAAAAAACCACACAAAACCCCCACAAAACTCCTACCCCCATACAATCACATAGTTGCTAAAGTTTTACCTGTCTTTGATGGTCCAAATCAGCTTTGTTACCAACAAGAATCATAGGGAATTCATCACGATCTTTCACTCTAAGAATCTGCCTTTGAAACTTATAAATTTCTTCAAAACTGTAGAACAACAACAACAACTCAATCCATAAACCCAAACTATTCGTCCTGCACTCTCGTAACATGCAAGAGATTTTTTTAAAAAAATTAAAATAAAATACAGTTCCATATACTGAAATCTGAACAGCTGTAATTGATCAGGCAGCACTTTAAACTGTGTGAACGTCACACTTGGCATTTCTTGGCAATGGGGACTGAGTCTGTCTCCTTTCCCTCTCCTTGTAACCTGTAAACAACACAGGAAAAGAGGTGAGAGAAAGCAGAGCCACACCTATGATTTGGTGCTTACTCCTTCATTCTGTCCCATTATTTGAGTTTTGAAGGGAAATAAGGTGTATTTTCACCTTTAAAAGTGGAAGAGCTATGATTTTTGGTGAATATTTCTTTCATTTAATAACATTTCAGGAGTCTTTGAGGAGTCTGTCCAGTGCTATTTTACAGTGCAAATAGGTACAGGTATACTACGCTTAAAACACAGTCAGCGTGTTTAGGGCTACAGCTTTACCAAATTTGCCTAGGTTGCTCCTGTGTGACCACTGACTACAGTTATCACATCATAGCCTGGTACTAGAAAAAGTAGTTGACTCTTTTAGTGTTGGAAAAAACAAGAATAGGAACAATTCAAAGTTCAGGTTCTGACTTGGGAGGATCCAGCTGGTTCTTATGGAATCTGCTAAGAAAACAACCAGTTACTTCCTTAAGACAAATTACAAATAACCCATCCAGATCTTAGAAAATAATTATTTGCCTCCAGTTCCAGCAAATCTTCTTAAAACCCAGGATAACACTACACTTCTTATTTTTGCATCATGATCATTTTAAATACTTTTGCAGCTTATCTGATGAGTCCAGTAAGTCATAGCACAATTGACTGTCAAAGGTGTGAGATGGCCATGGAACGCTGTAGGGTTGTAGATACCAACTATATGAACACCCAACAACAACTATAAGAATAATGAGGCCCACGAATATGTGCATAGTGTCATCCAATTTTGTCCCCTTTTGCCAGAGACTTGCCAGGAGTGTACTTTGCTTCAAACGATTCTTAATATTTTAATCACCTTTAATACCGGTTGAATAATCTTGGTATTTTGTTTAAATTCACAGCAGCACACCTTTACTTGTGTAGAGTGTGTTTTGTTTTAATTACTGCCTGAGCTCCTATCACCAAGAGGGACAGGAAAGACTCTATGCACCACAATGTGATATCTGCCTCAAAGAGCATCAGAAATAAAGATGTTCAAAATGTGCATGTCACAATTTAACAGTTTAACCTCAGCACTAGATTGGCTTCCCAGCCCATACTTAAGAACTTTATCAGCTTAAAACTGTTCATAATAATTAATGACCAGATACAGAGCCCTAAACACATAGGACAGGATGCAAAAGGCTACTTTTAGATATGCCTAAGACCTTGCAATTACCCAGGAGAACGTTTGGCTTCTTGTGACCATGTATCCTACAGTGCTTTTACAGTTCCCTTTCCATTTCAGAAACGGCTTTCCATGTAGCATGAGAAAAAGCTTGCATTCAATAACCAGCAAAAGCATTTTTGGGAAGGCAGAACTAGGCAACATCCCCAAACCCCATGCAATCACATTACTTCATGGTACTGAAAGCCATTATCAAATACATTACAAATGACAGCTGTTAGCACACTAGCTATGTTTAGATATGCCTAAGAGCTTGCAATTACCCAGTAGAACGTTTGGCTTTCTTGTGACCATGCAGTATCCTACAGTGCTTTTACAGCTCCCTTTCCATTTCAGAAACGGCTTTCCATGTAGCATGAGAAAAAGCTTGCATTCAATAACCAGCAAAAGCATTTTGGGGAAGGCAGAACTAGGCAACATCCCCAAACCCCATGCAATCACATTATTTCATGGTTCTGAAAGCCATTACCAAATATATTACAAATGACAGTTCTTAGCATACTAGCTATTGTCCCTGCACAAAATGTGGTAAGATATTGGCACATATTTCACTTGTTCTTAGCCTACCTTCCTCTATCGGTGACTGAAAACACGAGCAGAAAGCCTTCTCCTGTCCTCATGTATTGTTCCCGCATAGCTCCGAATTCTTCTTGGCCGGCTGTATCTAGGACTAAGACACATTGAAAAATTAACTTTCCTTTCCGCGATGAAGTATGATGAAATGGGTAGCTGCATATTTACTGAAACATTTCCCCCCACCATCCTCCACAATATATTTTGGAAACGAGCTTACAGGGCAGATTTATACACAAGTAGAAAGCGTTACAGTCCAAAATTTTTCATATAAAGTTATCAGTATAAAAATAATTCCCATGTGAAAATATTGGGGGGGGGGGGGGGAATCGCCCAGAACAGATAAAAAGCATACTAAGGCTGCGGTCACACGGAACATTAGCCATGCAAGAGAGACTGAAGACAGGCGGAGTTTCCGGGCGCGATCTCACCGGCACATCTGGGAAGCGTAGCGCTTCCGTGGCACAACTGAGGCTTCCCGCCGAAAACACGCAGCAAAAAACTAGTACCTCATTAGGGGTGTGTCGCCTAACATGCAAAGGCGTTCTTGCTACAAAAAGAGCCCTGGAAGAAATCAAAGAATGCTAAAAATGTAAAAAGGAGTGTCACCAATGGAAATTTTATGATGAGCCAGAGTGAAAACCAGTCTTAATCAAACCTGCTCCCGGGGTACTCAGTGACCCTGAGCCAGTAAGTCACTTTCAGTCTGATCTACCTTACAACTCATAAGTGGAAAATGGGATCACTGCACGAATACCTACCATCTCGTGGGTCTGGGGAGAAAGGTAAGGATACGTATGTGAAGGAGGTAAAATGTTTCTAAAACAGACTTACTGTCCAGCCTTGCTGCTCTCTCGTCTATTACACATTGTTTTGTGTAGGAATCTTCAATTGTAGGGTCATAGTCAGTTACAAAGTAGGACTGCAGAGAGAAAAGAGAGTTTTCAAAACCATTTCATATGAACAGCTTTTATTCACACAGATTACTTGTTTGTCTATGTCACGACCATGCCCTTCCGCCTCTGCATCATTGGCTACTTTCCAGGCCACCGCAGAGACTACAGGGTGTTTACCTCCCTTCAGGGTCGTACAAACCAGCACAACGAGAGTAGAAAAGATAATAGCTATCTTGTTTCCCCCTTTCAAAGCGGGGGGGAGCAAAATGGAGTGGTGAAATGACTGCTACCGCCAGCCATTTAAAGCATAATTTGGGTTTCCTGAATACTTCCTGAATCCAAATATCATACAGATATTTGGATTCAGGAATATCGGCAAATACTGATAATTTCGGTGTTCAATAAACCCGAACCCAAAAAATCCCGATTTTTTTTTTGCACACCCATAAAGGAAGGCATGAATAAGTGCAAATGGGTTCAAAAGAAATAAAGGGCTGAAGTCTGAAACTGAACACATGGAGGTATTACAGTTGCCAACACATGGGGAGAACATGCTACGTAGTGATCCTCCTGCTACATGCCATTGCCATTGTGTCTGAAAGGGACCGTCGATGTCTCAGTACGTTTGCACCAGAACCTAAAAAGGGCTTGGATGTATCTTTGTCTTGTGTATGCCTCACGTTAAAGTGTCAAGATATTCCCCCCGTTCAGTTTAAATGGCTACAAGCCATTTGAATAGCGCAGTGGGTCAGCCCATCAGCTGTTTGGTTCAAATGGCCACAAGCCATTTCAAACCTCTCCCTTTCCCACTCCTCCATTTGGAAGCTGGGGGGAGGGGACGAGAGGTCTGAAATAAAAATAATAATGATTATTTAAGATTTATTTTAGATTTATATCCCACGTTGCCTGACCATGCAGGCTCAAGGCGGCATACACAGACTAAAATACGATAAAATACAAATGCGTAAATGCGTAACTGTAAAATTTCAAACCATAATATACTTAAAGTGCGATTGGTGCAGATGGCAGATGGCGTTTACTGAAGTGGGCCAATATAGGTAGGCCGGTGTCTCGTTGTCCTAACTCCTCTTCGTTTCCAAAAGGAGGGGAGGGAAAGGGAGGTCTGAAACAGCTTGCAGCCATTCGAATAGCGCAGTGGGTCAGCCCATCAGCTGTTTGGTTTAAATGGCCACAAGCCATTTCAAACCTCCCTTTCCCACTCCTCCGTTTGGAAACTGGGGGGAGGGAACAAGAGGTCTGATTTATATCCCACATTGCCTGAGCATGCAGGCTCAAGGCGGCGTACACAGACTAAAATACGATAAAATACAAATGCGTAACTGTAAAATTTCAAACCATAATATACTTAAAGTGCAATTGGTGCAGATGGCAGATGGCGTTTACTGAAGTGGGCCAATATAGGTAGGCCGGTGTCTCGTTGTCCTAATGTCAATAACACAGCACAGGGCCTTGATGGTTCAGTTTCCAGTGCTCATTCCTCAGTGGTGGCTCCTAATCGAAGGCCTGGTGGAAGAGCTCCATTTTACAGGCCCTGCAGAACTGTAAAAGGTCCCGCAGGGCCCTGATGTCTTCTGGGAGCTCATTCCACCAGTATGGAGCCGCCACTGAGAAGGCCCTGGCTCTGGTGACAGCCAGTCTGGCATCTTTTGGACCAGGGACAGTCAGGCAGTTTTGGGTCCCCAACCTCAGCGCTCTCTGGGGGACATGTGGCGTCAGACATTTAACCCCTCCCTTTAGCCACCTCCTGCTTCCAAGCGGGGAGCAGTGAAACAAATGGGTTAAATGTCTCTCAGACATTTCAGCCAGTTTTAATGGCCGGTAGGCTCCAAAACGCTCACCCGGAAGTGGGTGAACTTTGCACTGCTTAGCTAACCTGAATAAAAGCTGATTTTTACTAGCTTTCATTTGGGCCAGCTATATCAGTAGCAGAATCAGATTAGAGAATCTGATTAGTCTGAATAAATACCTGAATAATACCGATAAGGTATTATTTTGGTATTTATTTGGCTCGGTATATACTGAGAACACACACCCTAACCTTCCTTGTGGACAGTACAAAAGCTTTAACTAGTTCAGGATGCAGCAGCATGCTGAGGGCAAGATTCCCCATGTCTTTTCAGGGATTTTTGCCTCCTAATATCTGTAACAGCTTTCACCCAGCACACTCTCATACATCGCACCCCTCTGTTTCATATGAATCAACTGTGTCCTGTCGTCACATCCCTGGTGTATGAGCTTGAACAAAACAGCTTGAGCAGAGATATCTACCAGTTATTGAGTAAGGGGAAAGTTCCAAGAATGTTGTATTTATTTTGTGCCTATTAATGGGGTTTGGGCTTAAACAACAGATGCTAAGTTTTAGCAAACTTAATACTTAAAAGTCATGTTGACTTTAATCAAGTTAAATAAGAACTTTTTTCACAGAGTTACTATACATTTAAATATTGTAATGAATCACAAGGACTTAAATCTATTGAAATTATTTCCTGGATGTAGCCAGCAGAAACAACTAGAATGCTTCCTTCATTCTTGTAACAGCTGGTGTGGCAGACAGTCTTGGATTAAGAGGATAGCAATACAGATAAAGATGCCATTCTGGCCAGATGTTAACTATTGGACTAGATTTTTAACTGGCCGTCCGTGTTATGTTAGATCTACTTATCTCTCATATCTTTCAACAAGGATCAATAAGATAGAGTTTTTATGCAGCTTTCAAGCTTTACAGATTCTGTTGATTTACCATTAGAACATTAGTCTGAATCCTCTCATTTTGCCAGGTAAGAGGAAGCTGCAGTCATTTCAGATTTTGGGATAAGGGAAGCACATTTAGCACAAGACACTTCTCAGAGATACGTTCAACATTAAGAAGAGAAGAAGAGATTGAATTTATACCCCACCCTTCACTACTTGAAGGAGTCTCAGAGCAGTTTACAATCTCCTTTCCCTTCCCCTCCCCACAACAGACACCCTGTGAGGTAGGTGGGGCTGAGAGAGCTCTTTTGAGGACTGCTCATGAGAGAACAGCTCTGAGAGAGCCATGACTGACCCAAGGTCACACCAGCAGCTGCATGTGGAGGAGTGGGGAATCAAACCCGGTTTTCCCAGATTAGAACCCACACTCCTAACCACTACACCAAACTGGCTCTGTAAACCTGTAGGGGGACAGCATTTCTTACAATTGTGTCTTTTTCTATCTGGAGGATAAGAATTAAATTTATTCCAGACTAGTTCACTACTTGAACACAGAGTGCCACAGATTATAAACTGACAAAACTACAACTGCTAAATCCTACTCATATTTTTCAAGTTCTTTTCTAAGAAAAGCTAACTTTGCCATGAAGTGGGGGAAACCATTTAGTCTCAAGAGGTGTTCGTATCCCTCCATTTCCCATCCAGTGTGTAACTGAATTCTAGTTCAGAGCATTTTACTTCACTCCTTTGCTATCTTTGACAACTTCAGATTCCTATTTTTTGCAATAAAGGCTCTCAAGAGAAGGGCAGGAGACAAATTATTTCCCTAACTGTATTCAAAGAAGTGTTTCACAAAAATGAACTGCTTTATAGAACAGAAAGAGTGATGGACTAATTTATGTTCTGTTTCAGAACTGAGGATGTCCAAAGTCCAGCAGTTCCTCCAAATGTAAACAGTAGGCTTTATCCCTCTAAAATAAGCCTACAGAGTTCTACATCAAAACCAGGTTTGAATGCAAGGAATAAAGTTACATTTGTCTCATGATCTTCAAGCTGACTACGTATAACAGGAAACGGTAGATATTCAACAGCCCCCTAGCATAAAGGACAATCATGGACAACACGAAACATCTGGCAAAAGAATGCCCTCTCCCCCTGTGTAAACGATTAATCACATGGAAGGGTGGACCACGATCATGGAAGCAGCAGGAGGAACTGGCAACAGGTTGGATTTGGGGAAGAGAAGAGAAAAGGGTCACAGTAAACTCAGAGTTGCTTGCCTGGAGAGAACAACTATTCATGCTCAGGAATGGACTACGAAGCCTGTGTAGTTTTGTGTGATTCTGGAGTAGCAAATAAAGACTGATGAGTCATTTAAAACAAAGCTGTTAGACCTAAACCTGTCAGAACAAATGCTGTATTATTCATATTCACAAGGTTAAAGTTGTTAACAGGGACTTTCCTGAAATGGCTGGCTCTCACCACCTGCCCCCCCACTATTCATGTCATAAACTTTCAAATTTAAATTTAATATTAAGGTTCTAAATTCTGACACTATTTTCCCCAAGACATATACAACTCTATAGAGCTTCTTCAAAAGTCTCAGATGAATTTATGGCATCTAAACAATTCAGGGACTTTAAAGAGTGTGCTAATGATACAGTTACATTACACGGTCTGGTTCTTGGTAGACTATGCAAGCAGCAGCAGCAGATGGACGTAAGATAAAGACTCTCTCAGACAAACAAATCACAGCTGAATGGGTATGAACCCCAAAAGGACAATTTAAATTTAATATTAAGGTTCTAAATTCTGACACTATTTTCCCCAAGACATATACAATTCTATAGAGCTTCTTCAAAAGTCTCAGACGAATTTATGGCATCTCAACAATCCAGGGACTTTAAAGAGTATGCTAATGATACAGTTACATTACACAGTCTGGTTCTTGGTAGATTATGTAAGCAGCAGCGGCAGAAGGATGTAAGATAAAGACTCTCTCAGACAAACAAATCACAGCTGAACGGGTATGAACCCCAAAAGGACCTTTTTCTTCTGTTTAACAAAATTTCACTTAGAGAGGGCCTTTTCAGGTTGCATCCCAAGGTTTGCAGAAAGATCGTGAAAGTAACAGGGGAAAAAGACCCCCCCTAAAAGGAAAGGTAATTGTGCACTTGTGCACACATTGCAAGCAACTTTGAAAAATTCTGACCATGTTCCTGTGAGATCATGGCCAGGATTCAACTAGGCAGTTTTTTAAAGGAGCCAGTTTGGTGTAGTGGTTAAGTGTGCGGACTCTAATCTGGGAGAACCG